GCTGATCTCTAAATATTTTCTCTGTTTTTCTTTCTCTTTCACTCATCACTTCTCTAGCAAAGCAAAATCATCTGCAAGAGACTCTCTGGACATTCACAAAACAACAAAGTCCTTCAAAGAACATTCTTTTCACAGAATTACACAGAATGGTAGGGGTGGGAGGGGCCCTCCAGAGCTCACCCAGTGCCACCCCCCTGCCCAAGACCCCTGGGAAGAGTCTGGCTCCGTCCTCGTGACCCCCACCCTTGAGATATTTGTAGGTGGTGATGAGATCCCCTCTCAGCCTTCTCTTCTCCAGGCTGAACAAGCCCAGCTCCCTCAGCCTTTCCTCCTAGGGGAGATGCTCCAGTCCCCCCATCATCCTTGTTGCCCTCCCCTGGACTCTCTCCAGGAGTTCCTCATCTTTCTTGAACTGGGGAGCCCAGAACTGGACCCAGTGCTCCAGGTGGGGTCTGACTGGGGCAGAGCAGAGTGGGAGGAGAACCTCCCTCACTCTGCTGGCCTCTTGACGCACCCCAGGATGCCCTTGGCGTTCTTGGCCACCAGGGCACCCTGCTGGCTCATGGCCACCTTGTCGTCCCCCAGGACTCCCAGGTCCCTCTGGGCAGAGCTGCTTCCCAGCAGGTCAGCCCCCAGCCTGTCCTGGTGCATGGGGTTCCACCTCCCCAGGGGCAGCACCCAACACAAGCCCATGTTGAACTTCACCAGGTTCCTCTCCACCCAACTCTCTTCTTGGAGCTTAATCTAGAAGTTGCCTAACCCAAGCAGTCCTCGGCCCCAACATAAGCATTTGCCAGTTTGATAAGCTAAGGGTATTTCCTTCTCCTGGTCAAAATCAAAATGTTTGTCAAACTACTTCCCAGAACCAAGAAAAACCTTTCCAAAAAACCAAACCACACTAAAACAACCCACCCCCCCGCCATCTTGCCAAGGCCACAGAAAAGCAACACCCGCTCCTCATCCTGTACCCTACATCTCCTAGCATGGGTGTTCTACCCTAGCTACCAGAATTTTCCTGCTACAACGCACACTGAAAATTCCTCTCATTCCTGGTATACAAACAGCACCCCTGGAACTTGTTTTCCAAAGTACGTTTCATAGAATCATAGAATTGTTTGGGCTGGAAAAAACCTTTAAGATCATCAAGTCCAACCGTTCCCCTAACCCTGCCATCCCACCTCTAAACCCTGGCCCTAAGCACCTCATCTGCCCTTCTTTTAAATACCTTCAGTGCAAAATACCTCCTTCCAGCGAAGCTCTGCTTCAAACTGTTTTCCCACAGAAGGGAGTCACTGTTTCCTTAAGCTGAAAGTAGTTCTTCTTTCTGTCCATTCTTACCCCAGTTCTCCATCCTTACGCCTCCATTCTTCGCACACTTGCACCCGCAGTTTGGATGAGTACATGCAAGTGGCTTACGGACTGCTAGATCTATAGTAACGGTATCTCCTTTCAAGAATTAAAAGAAAGGAAAAGCCCAAGAGCAGCTGAAAACCAAAGCCTCAACTTGAAGAATTGAGTTTAGTGATTACCATACGCATTTCGTTATTCAACACATTCTGGGTTAAACGAATACTTCCCTAATGTTAAACCTACTATATAGTAAACACACAGAAAAATTAAGGAAGGGAGTGTGACCTCCTGTATTACTGCACTTTACAACAGAAATAGCTTGTAATCATGGGCTTCCTTTGTGCCATTTACCTGCCGCAGCTGCGTTAGATCAGATTTATTTCCCACCAGGACTACAGGAGTGTCGTCAGTGCGTCGAACGCGATAGATTAGCTGTTTGAACTCACGCACTTCATGGAAACTGCGCCGGTCTGTGATTGAATAACAGATGATAAATCCCTCGCCAGCCCTCATGTACTGGTCTCTCATGGCCGTAAACTCTGCCTAGAAACAGACAATTACATTTCAATTGCGCAAATATGACGACTTTCTAATTTGCTCAGAAAGGGACACACAATATGCATTCCAGAACCAGCTGCATAGGAACCCTGTGACCAAGCTGGTCATCTATCTTCTCGTCCTAATACATATATGGCAAGACATTGCAGATGTCTGGGATTAACACCAAATTTCCCTTTGCTGTAGAAATCATACCATGACCATATAGAAATTGTGTCATTTAGCGGCCAATATGTATTGCTTGTTGCTCATGAACAGCAACGTGATGCTTACAAGTAAGAACGCTCAAAAACCTGCCGCAGCTGCGTTAGATCAGATTTATTTCCCACCAGGACTACAGGAGTGTCGTCAGTGCGTCGAACGCGATAGATTAGCTGTTTGAACTCACGCACTTCATGGAAACTGCGCCGGTCTGTGATTGAATAACAGATGATAAATCCCTCGCCAGCCCTCATGTACTGGTCTCTCATGGCCGTAAACTCTGCCTAGAAACAGACAATTACATTTCAATTGCGCAAATATGACGACTTTCTAATTTGCTCAGAAAGGGACACACAATATGCATTCCAGAACCAGCTGCATAGGAACCCTGTGACCAAGCTGGTCATCTATCTTCTCGTCCTAATACATATATGGCAAGACATTGCAGATGTCTGGGATTAACACCAAATTTCCCTTTGCTGTAGAAATCATACCATGACCATATAGAAATTGTGTCATTTAGCGGCCAATATGTATTGCTTGTTGCTCATGAACAGCAACGTGATGCTTACAAGTAAGAACGCTCAAAAAACAATTTGGAAGAGAAGACAGGCACACTTTTACAGGATTTCTGCCTCTACACCTGACCATTACAGACTTTTTAACATCTTCCCAATTCACTTATTACTCACATACCTGTCCTGCTGTGTCCAAAATATCCAGATTGGCAGGTTCGTCATCAATGCGTATTCGTATTTTATAAGCATCCTCTGTGAATTCACAGGACATTGGAAAGAACAAGATTGGAATACAATTACAACAGTTGTTAGTCGTCAGTCCATGAAGAGAACGTTACAGCAGAAGAACCGACTCTGGTAATATTGCTATACTAAATTACTCTGATCTTTGTTTAACATCAAATTGAATTTTGAATTGTTCTGCCATGCTTTAGTATCCTCCCAACTGTTTGCTATTGTATACGCTCTTTCTGACGGATGTGACCACATCCTACGAATTCCATTTTGGACACGCTGGTGGAAAGCACAGAGTAAGAGCATTACAGTGTTCCCAAAGCCAGAGAATACTCGTGATTCAAGAGAAGAACTGGCCACCACCAACTACCATTTTCTTAAGAGTAAGACAGTAAATATTCTGTCCCGCTAAGTCAGCACTCCCACACTGCAGCCGTCCGCTTTCAACAAGCAGCCGGCTGTTTTCCCCACTTTTCCTTTGACAGCGTTGCTGCTGCTCAAGGTTTCTCTTAGAGATGCCGCAAAAGTCATGCAGCGATGGAGGAAGTTGTTAAGCGCTTGCATCCCTCCCAATTTCTGAAAAACAGAGTGCAATTTGGCCTGACAAATTAATAGCAGAGAGTTGAGCATGGAGACTGGATTTTTTGATAGACAACTAATTGCTTATCAGCAATTTTTCACCCTCGTTTGCCAACATACGAATACAGATAGCATACGGCCTGAACGTATGCGAGAGGAAAACCATTAAAGTTCCAAAACTCAGGATATGTATCCCAGTCCTCACAGCACTCTCAGAACTTGACACCTTTATGTGAGCAATCTGAGGGACCCGAGTCCTCAATTTACAGTCAAATGTACAGCTTTCTTTAAATCGAGTGCTTTAAAGCAACAGACCCCACAACAGCTTAACCTGCTCCGAGAGGGAGCGAATGGCGAAAAGGAAGCTTTTTCTTACCAATTGTGGGATCGTGATCCTCTGGAAACCGGTGACTGATGAACTGCATGGTCATGGCTGGAAACAAGAATCGGACACAATTGCACAAGTCTCGGTAAACATCTGCTGCTTCAGCATTATTTCGCTAACAGCTAAAACATAAACCCATGTGCAAGGCTCGAGAGAAGCAGGGGAAACGGAATAGGTTAACTAACTCAGAAACAGGGAGAACGACGCCCTGGTCCTCACCAAAGCCCCCCCGTCAGCCGTTTCAGAAACAAAGCTGGACGCAGCCGAAACGCGGAAGGCGGTGACACACGGCGCTCCCCGGGCACGGCGGCGGGGCGCGGGGGGGCGCCCGGAGCCGGGCTGGGGCGTTCACGAAA